CATTAGCAAACAGCAGCTCGGTCACAGCGTTAACACCTTACAATTAGAGTAATGTTAGTTTGCACTGATGTACACTAATGACTTACTATTAGCGCTGCGTTCTTTAGTAAAGCTGCATTCACTGTCGTGGCACAGCCTCAGTCATTTGCACTCCTCAGGTGGCATTTGAGAGCTTTTCTTTCTGCTCTGGATACTGAAACCTGTTCGATAGTTATAATTTCTTATAGTTTGTTCTTCTTGAGAGAAAAATGCAGCTGGAGACTTTTCTATGTTTGGTCGTCTGGTGCCAACTTAACCCCTTCAGTGAGAACATGCTCAAATTCAGAAGCCCTGAGTTGACTTCAGCAGCTTTGTCTGACCACGTAGCCTAACTGCCCCATGATGAAAACATGTCTTGGCTGTGCTTAACCCTTTGTAGAACAGGTCCCAGCTCATCTTGTCTGAAGGTACTCTATGTAAAAACCCTTGTGTTTCAAAATGCAAACTCATTGGTGTCTCTAGATCTGGAGCTTCACGTCTCTGATCTGCAGTCGCTGGCCTCCCCAACCTCCAAAATATTTACTGTTCTGCTTGTATTGCTGCTCTCCATCCACTATCCTGCTATTATCCCCCTCATCCTCACTCTCACCCCAACCGGTTGAGGCAGATGGCTGACTTCCCGGAGCCTGGTTCTGTCAAAGTTTTTTTCCTCCCTCACTATTACAGCGTTTTTTTTTAGTTCCTTCCCACCGTTGCCACCTTGCTCTGATGGAGTCCAACGGTAACTTTGGATTGCTGGTTCTCTGTTCAAATTCGTAGGACTTCTCCTTAAGCGCTATGAGATGACATATGTTATGAATTGCACTGTATAGATAATGGATGGATGGATGAACTGAATTGAACTGAATTGAATTGAATTGAAGTCCTAATAATCTGTGGTTATGTGCTGCATTCCAACCAATCTGTCCGGAAAAAAATGATAAAAATGTGTCTTGAAGTCAAAGGTAATTATTAGATATTCAGATTCTTCCGGACATAACGAGACATCTGCACACTTCCGTGAATTCTTCTAAACATCACATGAAACTGTGACGGTAGAGTTTGGGTGTTGAAAGTCAAACACTGAATCCAGTTTTAGACAGTAAGAATAATTTAATTGAGCAGCGTTTGCTTTTCGTTCAGCTTTTTTCTCCAGAGTTGATTTTTGTTGTTGTTGTTGGAGCATCTGTTGGTAGTCAGATGTCAGATAGCGTCAAACAGAAAAGATGTGCAGCCACGAAACGTTCACTAACATTTATTTACTATCTCATCGTCAGAATTCCCAGAAGCAGGAAAGAAAACGTGAAACACTCCACAGACGGTAAACTGTGCTGTGCAGCGTTACTGTGTGGGCTCACGAGCGACACGCCACAGCAGAAATGGCTGCTTGTTTACTTCCACCTACAACATGAATCAGTCTGTAGCAGGAGAAGAAACCTCTATATAATCCCAACATCAGTCACTGTTATATAGACCAGGGGTGGTCAATCCAGGTCCTGGAGGGCCACAATCCTGCATGTTTTAGATGTTTTCCTCTTCCAACACACCTGATTCAAATGATCAGGATGGTTATCAGGCTTCTGCAGAGCTTGATGATGAGCTGATCATTTGAATCAGGTGTGTTGGAAGAAGGAAACATCTAAAACATGCAGGACTGTGGCCCTCCAGGACCAGGATTGGACACCCCTGATATAGACCAAAAGGCAGTGCGGTCACAAGCCAATAGAGGCAAGAGAAAACTTGTCCTCTTATGATGCTCTAACTCTCAGCTACTTCTACCGTATATTGTCATGTGCAACAAGTTCAGTAGGTTAGTGTCCACAAACAGGTAAGCCAAGTTCACTCCATCCAGTGTTATCATATACTATGTATGTTCAAAGTAAGATCCTTGGCTGGTTGTAGACGGTAGATGGTGCCGAGTGCTGCTGACTAAACGAATGGTGTTATTTTGCATCATGCCGTGACTTTAAAACGGCCTCGGCCAAGGAGGATGAACACGCACACTTACAGGGCAATAAAGATGCATGCATAATATAAAGAGAAGCTGTAGAGTGAATGCACGCACACAAGTTCACCATCAGGGTGACCCAAATAGTGGCAACGATATTTTCAGAGCGCGTGAGTCATGCGATCCAAAAACAAGGCAAGAGTGTGAAACGACTTCTTCAGAGCTCAGTAGGCAGAGCGCTCCAGTGGATGGATTGTGGGAGGAAGGTGGAGAAGGAGCATAGTAGGCTGCATGTGTGTGGAAAATCTGCTCCGTCTAGCTCTTGGAGAAAACCGTGGATGTTTGCAAATTCAGCCCGAGGTTCTTCCAGGACAGCGGAGTATCTAGCTCCGTGTCGGACAGCTGCTTCTGTAAACCAAAGACCGAAACACAAGAAGCAAATAAACTAAACAAAATCTGTACCTGATTTAATGCTGTTTACATACAGACTGAGCTGCACCACATCAGCATGGTATCATTTTGCTGTCCAAAGATCAAACTCATTTACATCTTATCTCAACAACTTTAGAAAAATCATGCTTGTTTTTGGAGTGCAACAAGGATTTCTATTATTAAGTAATTGAAGAAGAAGCATTTTGTGTCTGACACTGTTTCATTAGTTGTCGCTCGAGAATTATGAATGCTTTCCGTTAGTGCCCCCAAGCTCACTGTCAATTATGCCTCCTATTTTCCCTCATTAACAACAACATTTTAAGTAATTGAACATTCCCTGCACCTCGCCTCTCCCCTGCTGCCTCGCCTAAAGCTACAGACAGTATAGTGTCCCGATAAAACACAAAACTCTGCATTTTTTTTCACTCTAGCAGTAAATATGAATGTAGGGTTACCCGACAGCACCCAGGAGGACCGTTTGGGTTTGCCGTCTCTTCCTGACTTTGCCTTTGGACACTGCTGCCCAGACACACAAGGGGGCAAGTGAGAAGAGATGGTTTTCATCTGCAGCCAAGTTAACGCTGCAGCACCTGTGTTGTGTCTAATCATGGGAACCAAAATAGACTGTGGTGGAGATGGTGACATTATGACTTCACAGTCATAATGAGAGCTGATCTATAGATCTAAGAGTCTTCATAGTTGCATCCCAGATTTCTGTCCTGAAGGCAGGACCCCGGGTGTTCCAGCCAAAGAATTCTGACTGTGTTATCTGTATGCAACTAAAAAACAAGTCCAGAACAAATACCTTAGTGTCTAGCAAGCAGATCTTTTGAAATTGTAATTTGGGCTTTCAGTTGCATCTCATGGTCTTGGTTAACAGATGGGGTATTCCTGGTTGTCATGGGTCAGGGACGGTATTTACATCTCGCTCCAGTCTTTCACAAAAACAAAGATTATTTGATGGAAGGAAATGAAGAAAAAGATAACAGTGACTCTGGAGTTTTTGTGACGTTGTAATGTAAAGTGTACCAGTAAAATTCTTTTTGGTTCTTGACTATGTTTCACCTCTCATCCAAGAGGCTTGCTCAGTTCTAACTGACTGGTGGAAAGTCCCGGGTTGTTGCTTAGGGCCAGCTGTGGGCCATTGCTTACCCGATATGTGTGAAGACTCAATGACGATCTAGCCAGATGCAGGGTATGAATGGTGTTGAAAGTGACTGGGGAGGGACGTCAGGACTGCACTGGATGTAGCTGATACGTGGTGCTGTAGATCCAGTCTGCTCCACTTAAACATAGACGCTTTCCTTCAGTCCTTTCTCAAACCTTCTGTCTTCTCTGTCCAGGATGTGAACATTGCTGTCCTTAAAGGAATGTTCTTTATCCTTCAGATGCAGGTGGACTGCTGAGTCTTGTCCTAAGGAGCTGTCTGTCCTGTGCTGAGCCATGTGCTTGTGGAGTAGTTGTTTAGTTTCCCCTACGTTTAGGTCTAAACGTAGTGTATACAACACTGATCATCTTGCGTTTGGCTGTTCAAAACTTGACTTGGCATCCTTTACAACCAGCTAAGTAACAGGTTATTAATAGTTAATAAACAAACATAATTCAGTAATAAGCCATTGGCAGGTACAAATCGTGGATTGCCACCATTATTTGACTTTTCTTTTCATCTGTGCTCATTTTTATCTCAAAGCATGTGATAAGATCTTCTCATTACGCCGGCATTTGAGGGTCATAAAAGTAAGAACAGTTAGACACTGAAATAAATGCAGTAGCCAAAGTGAATGACAAAAACATTTTTTTGTGCTTTTCTTTTGTTTTCTCCAAACTGAGAGGGAAAAAAGTAACTCTGAGCTATGGATTTTATGTTCTACAACACCCTGTGACACTAATCCAGACATATATATATACTCTTGCTTTTCTTTTATTCTTTTGCGTCTTCACAAAAGACAATAATTCTGGTCAGTTGGTCAAAATGAATGCATAAATCCTGTCATGAGAAAACATGCCAGAAAGGTTCGTACCACAGTCTTTGTGTTCTATGTTTGTGTTGTTTTCCTGGTACCTGAAGGCCTGATGTGAATGCAGGTAAATTCTACAATACTCAATAACATTTGATACAGTCAAACTAAACGCTACACCTCAGTAAAATATTTATACAAACACCCAAAATGCAAATGCAGAAACAACAGCACACAAATGAGATTTCTTTATTCCCCATTGATTCTGGAGCCTTTCTGGCTTCACTTAACTACCTCCTTGTTGCTTCCCTGCCAAGTACTCCATATACCAACAGCAGCAAATTAATTTTGACTGCATCTGCATTCCCATGTTACTTTTTCACCAGGAGCGTAGGGAAGTGTGTGTTTATTTGTTGCTCTTGCTAATAGATTGCTTCTCTCTCTGGAGTCCATTCAAATTGATGCAAGTTAATTAAACCTGCCTGGGTTCAATCTCTTCCTCAAGAGCAAATGAAATGATTGATCTCAGTGTTCTGTGTATCAACAACCGGTGTATGCCACGTTATGGTTTAAGTAATCTAAAATGTAAAGGATGGATTGAAAATAACACCTGTTCTTCTCTTTTCTCTGCTCCTCTCCTGTAGTTTATTGCCTTTGCATCTTTGTTCTTCATCCTGGTCTCCATCACCACCTTCTGCTTGGAGACTCATGAGGCTTTCAACAAAATCATCAACAAGACGGAGTCGGTGCGGAACAGCAGCGTGCCGGACTCAGGTCCGCAGTATGAGATTGAAACTGACCCTGCGCTCACGTATGTGGAGGGCGTTTGTGTCTTCTGGTTCACCATCGAGTTCCTGGTGCGTGTGACCTTCTGCCCGGTGAAGCTGGAGTTTGTTAAGAGCGTCCTCAACATCATCGACTTTGTGGCCATCCTGCCTTTCTACTTGGAAGTAGGGCTGAGTGGCCTTTCGTCAAAGGCTGCCAAGGATGTGTTGGGTTTCCTCAGGGTGGTGCGTTTTGTTCGTATCCTGCGTATCTTCAAGCTGACACGTCATTTTGTGGGGCTTAGGGTGTTGGGCCACACGTTACGGGCCAGTACCAACGAATTCCTGCTGCTCATCATCTTCCTGGCACTGGGAGTGTTAATTTTTGCCACCATGATATACTATGCCGAACGAATTGGTGCAAAGCCCAATGACCCCACCGCGAGCCTCCACACCAAGTTCAAGAACATCCCCATTGGCTTCTGGTGGGCCGTGGTAACCATGACTACACTGGGCTATGGTGATATGTATCCAGAGACCTGGTCAGGCATGGTGGTCGGCGCGCTGTGCGCTTTAGCTGGCGTGCTGACGATAGCCATGCCTGTGCCTGTTATTGTGAATAACTTTGGGATGTACTACTCCTTGGCTATGGCCAAGCAGAAGCTGCCCAAGAAGAGGAAGAAACACATCCCTCAGGTGGTGCAGGGAGGGTCCCCCACCTACTGCAAAGCTGATCTCAACACCACCTGCAACAGCACTCAAGGTGACCTGTGCCACGTCAAAGGGAGCAGGGTACTAGAACGCAACCGCTCAGGTAAGACCATATGGCCAGACAAAGACCATATGGAGGAAAAAGATATGAGGAACTTCAACTCAGCAGTTGAGTTCAGATTACACTCGAGGGTGCTATTTATGTAGTGACAGCGAGGAGAATCCATAAGGGACCTCAGCTCAGGTAGAAAGCAGTGGCCACATGACAGATCCCCCCCTGAGACTAGAAATGGTTTCCCCTTGTGACCCACCAGCACCACAGCAGCACCCTCACAGCAGACTGAGCTGTTTTGCCTTGCAGCCTTCATCTGGTTGCCACAGTGATAAGAGAGGAAATGCAAAAGGTACTGCAAGAAGGAGATGGTTGCATGAAATAGCACAGGCTGATAAGAATTCAGAGTCCTTGTGTCCATGTCTTTCTTCTAGTAAGGATTGTTCACTTGTTGTTCAGACTGTAGGTGGCTGTTTCTCCCTCTGGGCGCGCGTCACTAATTTACTCTGACACATCTGATATTGATGGAAATTAGTGTCGACCTCCATATGCTGACTTTCTTTGAATTCTAGTGCAGACAATCCTGAGGGTAGGTATGCGCTCTGGACTCCTTACAGTCTATTTGTTTACTAGGTTTCAGAGACTTATATTTAATAATAAGCATAGAATAATTCATGAATGACTGAACGTACAAACAGAATCAATCTGGTTTAGCTGCCTGTGTGATTTCCTCAGAGGTCATTTGAAATGCACAGTCTGCACAGTTACCTACCTATTAGGTGTCCTTTAGATTGCTGCATATTTCATGTTTCAGTGTGAAAGGTCTTAACACGTGGTTCATCCTACATGGGAAGGGAATTTCCTGCTTCCAGAATATGTGGTTTTACTGTTTATCCTTGAATGTAAAAGCCTTCATGGTAACACATTAACATTAACCTGCTGTGTGATTAATAGTAATTGACTGTGGCATGGATTTTAACATAACATTTTTATACTGATTAGTGTTATACTTGCAGCATCATGTTACTATCGTTTACATGTAGTTGACCATTTGCTAATCCACATCCCAAACAGCAGTTGTCCAGTTGGACTATAGCCTAACAGCGCAACACAGCAGGCTGGTCAACCTTTGGATTTCTTCACATGATCTGCATGTGATTGTTGTAAAAGTAATGTTCTGCAGGGCAGTTTGATCATACATATTCTTATCATGCTTAGAATACTGGCTGTTTCTTTCTAGCATTAGCTCCTATAGATTAGTGTTCCACATGATTTATCATCTGGTGAGTATGCAGACTGTTGGGTTCAACGTTCAAGGTCTTTATTTATCACAAACACAGTGATACATGGTATAACGTGCAGTGAAATGCTTTGCGTACTGTTCCACACTGAAACAATATTAAGAAATGAATAAAAACAAGAATAAACACACAAGAAATAATATATATATACGAGTATACATATAGGGAGAGAGCAAAAAAGGGATTTTAAAAAAAAAGCAAAATAAATAAATTACATTTTCAAACAGTGCAAAAGAGATGGAATAAATAAAGAAATAATACTATATATAAATGTATATACACAAGGTGAAAGTGCAAGTGACCAGTTTGATTGTCTATTGTCCGAGGTTCAGCAGGCGGACTGCCTGAGAGAAGAAACTCCTCCTGTCTGGGGCATGCAGGTTTAACATTAGCTATCTAGAACAATATCATGTATTAAATAGTGACTGACTCATAGTTTCACTGGCACTCAAAGCCGACACACCGTTAATTTTGCATAACTTTAAGCCTTAACACAATTTAAACAGGTGAGTTAAATTTAAATTCACCTCCCTTGTAGTTGTCATCATGGAGGAAACTAGCCACAGAGACTAAAACCAGTTTTGGTATCGGGCTGTAAACACATTTACCTCTGCTGTAAAGTCGGATATTTTAACATGGGGGTCTACTGGGATTGATTCACTTTTGGATCTAGCCTCACGTGGCCATTCAAGGAATTGCAGTTTAGAGCTTCTGTGTTACCTTTATTTTACAACCCTGGAGGTTACTGCTCAGTATGAAGTCATCAGGTGCTTCCTTATAAGATTCCCATTAAAATGACTCACCTGGAAACATTACAAATTCAGTTGGTGACATTTATAACCAGCTCATATAATTAGCTCAGCTTGTGATAAAACATGCTAGAGACAATGAGAAGCCTACTTTTGGCAATTTCTGTCTGAATCAGGGACGTATAGCTTTGAAAATAAACAAAGTTGCCTTCAGCACAAACCTAAAATAAAATCCTAAAAAGAAAAAGAGGGGCTGCAAGGTGGCTCTGTGGTTAGCACCGTTGCCTCACAGCAAGAAGATCGCTGATTTACGTCCCAGTGGGGGCATCTTTCTCCATGTTCTCCCCGTGCAGCGTGGGTTCTCTCCGGGTTCTCCGGCTTCCTCCCACACAGTCCAAAAACATGTTGAGGTTAATTGGTGATTCTAAATTGTCTGTAGGTGTGAATGTGAGTGTGCTTGGTTGTCTGTCTCTAAGTGTAGCCCTGTGATAGACTGGTTACCTGTCCAGGTGAACCTGCCTTCACCCTGAGTCAGCTGGGATAGACTCCAGCCCCCCATGACCCTAGTGAGGATTAAGCAGTGGATAGATAATGGATGGATGGAAAATGAAAAAAACAAAAGAAAAAAGCTAGGATTCAATAATATGTCTTGCAGTCTTTTCTAACTGCTCCCGAGTTTCAAAGCACAATAATAGTCAAGCTCAGACTCAATCCTCCGTCTAATCTATTGTGCCAACACATTGAGTTTTTATCTGTGGACATTCTTGATATTTATAACGTCTCATCTGCTCAGTAACAATATCTGTAATTGGCTAAAGACCCCCGTGATGGTTTAGACTTTCTACAGCCTTAAGCAAAGCTGGGAGGAGCTGGGATTATCTAAGTCCCTTTCAAAATGGAAAATATTTGCCCAATTATGCCAAAAAAAATACTGCCTACACCAGCTTTAATAATTCTGAGGACATGAATGTGCCATGACAGACGGGCCTACTGACACTGCTGTTATTTAATCTTTTCAATCAACCAATTCCATGTCAAGCCCAACAGAACAAGAAGAATGAATCTTCCTATCCATGATTGTCTCTGCCTTGAAAGCTTGATATATCTTATTTCACTGTGCCACAGGCCTCCGCTGTCATCCAGAAACTATTAAAAACACATAAAAGAGCCACGCTGATTTAATTTACGACATATTCTATTATTAAAATAGACATTGGCCAGCTGCAAAACTGCCGCTCCATTGTGAGTCTGAGCAGAGGGGCTTCCTGTTACTGGGCCTGCTTAGGGAAGCACTTCCACTTTATGTGCTGAGAGGAACGTATCACCCCGGCCTCCTTTATTGTAATGGATGGAATATGTCATCTAAATGCAACAATATGACTCTCTTAACAGTTTTTCGACAGAGACGAGCACTACATCAGGCTGTGGCTGCACAGATGATCCTGGATAGTCGGAGAAAATAATTTCTTTTCATGACATTTTTTCACAGTAACAGAAAAATCAATGTAATCCTTATCTTTTAATACGGCTTTAAGTATGTCATATGCAGGTGCTCCACTCGTAAAACAGATTTTTATGACTGGAAAACCTCTCACTGGCTCATCCTGTAAAAAAAACAATGAGTATTTGTCATCCTCTGGTGCTACACACCTCCTCACCTTTGACCTCCGCTGTGCTGCCTGCTGTTGCTTGTGACATTTGGTGCAGGCTTTTAATGTGGAAGGCTGTTTGATGTTTGTCGTGACTGCGATTCCCCCGTCAGCCCGAGCTCCCCTATTCCCTCACCCACAAACCCTTTTTTCTCAGCTTACTGCAAATATATATTTCCATTTATCCCACCCCAGAGAGAGTCATTACCAACAACAGCATCTGAGTGGTCGAGTGTCACTGGTGCACAACGTTTGTGATCATGGCTTAAAGAAGCTTTATGCTAATGGCCAGGAGGTAATTATTAGCTGGAACAAACAACGCCTTAGTTTATTCCTAATGTTAACATCCCTCCTTCGTCTAAGCATGTATATTGTGTATAAGGGTCATCAATTTAAAAATGGACATCTCCATATTTAGACTTACTTTTACAATAAGAGAAGTCACATTTTAAATATACGTGTTTATGATTATTACACAAATAAGAGCATAAAGAGCCTAAAAAGCATCTTGGAGGTTGGTGAATTCTGCAAAATGTAATATGTAAAAAAAAGAAATGTAAAAAAAAAAAAGTCTATTTGTGCACTGCAACAACATTTAGAGTTGTTTTTATAACTTAGGTTTATACAGTCATGACTCGATAATCCGACCCTTAAGAATCCTAAACTTTGCTATCCGACAGGTTTTTAGGAAAAACAAACAGAACCCATAAAAATAACCTTAACACACCGACAGCCTTGGATTCTGACTCCAACATGACATTTTATGTCACCAATCAGGATAACGGCGTATTATCTGACTGAACAATCCCACAGATTGGCTACGTTCACACTGCAGGACTTAATGCTCAATGAGGATTCTTTTGTGAAATCTGATTTTTTTGTGAGTTCGTTCACATTTCCAGTTAAATACGACTTGTATGTGATCTGCTGTGTGAACTTCATACGACCCAGAAGTGTCCCACATGCGCAGAAGAGGACACGACGACGTCACACGCAGCGAGCGTGCTCAGTGTTCACGGAGGTAAACATGGATGGTAACGGTGGAGCGTATCTGCCACTCCCCCGCCGCCGCCAATGGTGGAAACAGTGTGACCGCTAATATCGAGAGACCAGTGAGGGCTACTCGGACCAGCCCTGGTTTGTCGTGTATCAATGACGTGTAAGTCGAATGAGTGCGACCTGGCTGTTCAGACAGGCAAAAGATCAGATACTTATCGGATTTAGGACCACATACCTTTGATGTTGCACAAGCACACCGGTCAAAGGCGAGGCTACACTAGTTATTATAACAACTATAAACAATGAATATTTACAACTAATGAGCCTTCCAGCATCAAGCCCTCCTTGTATCTGGACCTCCATCTTGACAATCCGACAGCCTTGCTGTCCGACATAAAAGAAGGTTTTACATTTAATGTCGGATTATTGAGACACAGCCTGGTTGTGAGGTCACATGAGGGAGAGCAGCAAAGCTCGGTCAGCTTTAACAATAAGAAATATCAACTGTAGCAGGATTTTTGACACAGAAGAGGTAGAAAATGTATGTTAACATGCACATAATAGCACACAGCTTTATAATTATGAATGTGCTGATTGATGAGGATGTGGAGAAATAACAGCAACAAATTAATTCACAGTGTAAGGTGCTTTAGTGAGTGGCTGCTGTTAGATAACGTCAGCTACACATTGTGTTGCATGACAGCTTTGTAAAGTTTACCATCATATATATAAACCAATCTCCACTTTCCAAATAGAATTTACTATTTCATTCTGCAGCACTGATACTGACCCGTAACAGAAGTATCAGATAATATCAGTGATCTCTCATTTGTCTAACAGACCAACACTGTGTTTACGGTGCTGCATGAGGGAGAGTGATGTGGGAGAGAAAAGACTAACTTTGAAGTTTGCAAACATAAAGAGCACAGTTTACATTTTCATCGAGCTGAATCTCTGACGGATCTATAACCATGTCTCCCAGCGGCGCCAGAACCAGAATGATGGAACTGAAGCGACTGTGTTCACTGCAGGAACCGTACCGGCTTTCAGTCTCACTCAGACCTGATGTAGGAGTCCCGTCCACAACTCCATCGTATCGCCAGAAACATAATCCTAATGTCTAACATGAGCGCTGCACATGACCAAGGCATTCATTACAGATGCAGCAGTGACTCTCTCCATCTGCACAAAACCGGCCCAGGCATCTTAGCAGCTCTATAAAAGTGTGGACTGGACGTCCTGATAGGCTGGAGTTTGTTCAACCTGCACAGAGGCTCATCAGTAATTAGCAAAAAAGACCAATTCTCTAAATCGCACCTCCTCAGCCTCACTACTACCCAGTACTGCAGCCGATGCAGCGGCAGAGACGACTCACTTATGAGACATAATGTGCTGCACTGTGGGAAAAAAAGGCCTTTTTAAAGAGCGCAGCCCTTCTGCCTTTATGTTTTATTACTTCCAAGAAACATTAAATTCACATCTGGCGAAAACTTCAACCTGCAAGTTGCTCTTTAGGAAGATATCATGTTCTTCTTAAATCTGTTGTGGAACTGTTACACTAAAGAAGAGCTTCAGCAAACTCCCACCTCAGAAAGTTTTCTGTTACGAGACGAATGTTACTGACTTTAAAGATGCACAAGGTTAAAAACCAGACTGGAGGAGAGCAGTTTCAGTTGCCTGGCAACTTGTATCTATGAAGGAATGGATCTGATTAAAACAATTCATAACTCTTATTATCTAATATTATCCATTTAGTGTCTCTGTTGAGAATTAGACATTAATGATGCTTCCGCTGAAGCTTTGAGGATGTGAGGATTTTATTGTGTAGTTAGAAGCCCATCGTTGAAATGGTCCCTAAAACCCTAAAACTCACCCCATACGTACCGCCCTTGTCGTTCAAAAAATCCGACAGAGAAACACTTCAGGACCACTGCACATGTTTATAGCCTCTTGTTTTGTAATATTGTGTGCTTTGCTGTACATCCAGTCTCTTTCTGTTCATCTTATTCATATGCCGCCTCTTGAACAGGTCATTATTGAAAATGAGAACCTCTCAACCAGCTTACCTGGTAAAATAAAGGTTAAACAAATTGTGTGAATCAAAGAAACTGAGTATGAAATGTATCAGTGGACCCAGTCAGCTGCCAGGAAGGTGTCATGTGTTTGTGTCTCTGCTCACAGTTCTGTCAGCAGACTGCAGTGGGGGCAGTGACCTCACCATGTCTCCAGAGGAGAGGGTCCCCATGCGGAGGTCCAGCACCCGGGAACAGGACCGCCGGAGTGGGGGGACGTGTTTCTTGCTTGCTGCTAGTGACTACACCTGCCCTGCAGACGGAGGGATGCGAAAAACAGGTAACTGCATGTGGAAACTCAATTGCTGTTTAAAGTGATTTAATTAATAATAATAATCATAATAATAATTCATCAGATTTTTATAGCACTTTTCTAGGCTAGATCTACTCAGAGACGCTTTACACTGTCAGTTATTCATCCACATATCCGGTGGTGGTAAGCTATGATTGTAGACCGACGGAGGCGTGGCTGCCATTCGGCGCCTACGACCTCAAAATAAATATTTGGTTGTAGAACAGGAAATTATTATGTCAGCTGTTTCATAAAAGTAGAGTGATTTAAAAAGCATGCAGTGTTCAAATCCATGCTTGCTACTGCGCATTAATCCTGATTGATGTCTGATCCATGAGTCATCACTTGTAAGTCTGGGTTAGGTTTCTCCTCGTGTTTCATGTAGTTTTGTTTTGAAAGAACAGTCAGACCAGTTCATACTTTAGTAGATAGGAAAGACCTTAAAAACACAAATCCTCATCAGCTGATTCGTGTCCTCAGTGACTGGGACACCAACATCCCTGGAGGGGGGGAGGCTGTATGCTCAGCCATAGTCAGCTCAGGTAACGTAACCTGTAGAGCTGCTGCTGTGACGCTCAGCAGCGACACACAGCACCGACGAGTTTGGCAATTCTGAGGGACAACCGTGTCCATGCAGCTGACTCAGAACTGTTGCTTTCCTCGCAATTTATTCATGTTTTCTTGTTGCCTGGAAACACTTGAATAAATTTCTGACCCAGCGTCTCACTTTTTTTGGCCGTTGCCAGGTTCATTGCCCGTCTGCAGCACCCGGACAGATTAGCCAGTGTATCATCTGCCTCTGAGGTGATGATGATACACCTGCAGATACTTTTGATAGTTTACAAAAAACTCTTACTGTCATAGATTTTAACGCTGTCAACTCATAAACATTTTGACTTCTTCATTCATTTGCTGTTGCTTAAATGAATATAATATATTTAATAATATATGATACAGTGACTCTACATTCAGATTAAGCAAATACAAGTGGACTGATCTCTTTGTCAGACTTCATACTCTTACTCTATAAGCGATGACATTTAACTGTAATAGTTTCATAAAGGCAAAAAAAAAGAAAGCGATGAGGCCATGCACATGTAGAAAGCCTTGTTTTCTCTATTACTGACCCTTCGATAAGCCCTGCCCGCCTTAGTTACTGTTGCTATGCCAGTCAAGCTTTCTATTCTTGCACAAAATATACACAGTTTTAATTGAATGCTGGCAGATTTGCCGCTGAAAACATTTCTATCACAAGGAACATGATGTCTTGAAAACATGGAAAGGAAATGGAAATCACAGGGCAGCGTGGTCCTCGTGTTGCAGGGTAGAATTTAGCCTCAAGGTTAGATTGCAATCTTTTTTTTCTGTACTATGACATTCAGATGTTACCTAAAGAAATAGAAAATATGTTGGGTTGGATTAATGCATCATTGGTTACAACAATATGTTCACTTTTATATGAGAAAAGATTTTAACAATGAATTAACAGATGATTAGAGCAGATTCCTAAATAAATCTAATGCAGAGTTTGACGGTTGCTAACATCCGCCTTAATACTGACATTTAGTCACTTCTATTGTTAGTGTATCAGTGCATGATAAAGTCAGGATTTTAGCAGAGCAGCAGCAGAAACAGAAAAATCTGGTAATGAAAACAGCTTTGTTAGGAATTCAACTTGTTGAAA